GGGAATTCCAAGGAATGCGTCCCCTCTCTAACGAACCTGCATCGACACGCGGGCGTTTTAACTGTCTCAAAACAAACAATTGCTCGCTGCAAAATGGGCTTCAGATGTGACGTGCTCTCCCTGTACAAAGGCCCAACGAGTTTGAATATCTTCCTACTGTGCCTTTCGTCCCAAAACGTTATGGCAATGAATTGTGATGAGGCCTCGGAATAAAGAGAAGCCCAACTAGGCCCGAAAAAAGGAGAAGACCAAAAGAGAGGGAAAAAAATATCAATCCAGCCGGGCTCTAGAAAGAAAAAGATAAGGAAAGAAAACAATGGAATGGGGTCCAACAGGACCCAATATTTTGGCCCAGTTGAGCCCAATATTTTTTACCTAACTTGACCTAAAAGAAATGAAAGAAAGGGAAGAAAAGATGGCTAGCATACAAAAGGAAGGCAAACTTGGCACGAAAGCCAAGAAAAATAGAGAGAGAAAGGAAATAAAAGGGAGAGAAAATAAAAATAGATCATCAAAATACTTCTAAATATTTACATGTCTATCTAAGAAATAGAGCTCGCATAGAAAAAAAAGAAGAAAACTTGGCATGAAAGTTGGGGAGAATATAAAGAAAGGAGATAGAAGGGAGAGAAGAAAAATAGACTGCCAAAGCATCATTAGACATCTATTATTGACACGTGTCTATCCAAGAAGTAGGGCTGGTGTAGGAAGAAAAGAAAACTTCACATCAAAGATATAAAGAAAAAAAAAGAAAAATAGATCGTTAGAGATCTACCATTAATGTGTCCTACCTAAGAGGTAGGCCTCATAAAGATAAATCCAACAACATAAAAAAAAAAAACGGTATTTGACAAACTTAAAAACAGACCATCAGAGATCTATCATTGACATGTCTCGTAAATTGTGTGGGTGACGAAAAGCAAACAATACAACAATCTTGTTAATATATTGGCACATGTAATCTGTACGCCAAACAATTTTTCTTCATCATTTTCATTTTAGTCACTAATTCTTCAATATTGTTTCAATTCAACCCAATTAAAACTAATAAAGGCCCACCCAAAGAGAGAAGAGTTTAAGAGGATAAGAAAGAGAAAAAATGCTCAATTGACCTAAGCATAGCCTAATCAAACCTAACAACAAAAAGAAAAGGAGAAGGAAAAAGAAAAAGAAAGGGAGAAAAAAATTGTCTTGCTCTTATCATCATTACCACCTATCAGTATTCTTTGTTTTATGCGATGCCAACGTAATTCTCCATTTTACAAGCTATTTCAATGGGTGTATAAATTGTCAATATCATGCCTGCTTGAAGGTTCTATTTCAAAAATGGATATTCTGGCACCTACATGAATAACTTGTTTTCCAAGTTACCTACATGATAAAAATAATTATTTTACATGATTACTCTCTCATGCTAGGTATATTAATCTACTCTCCATAAGACAATTTCATATGACTTGCGATGTACAAATAATTAAGGTCGCTAAATAACAATATATGATAAAACAATAAACATAATAATCAGAACATACTTTCTTCTACATTATCATTCTCTTTTTTATATATTCCTTTCCTTTTATAAATTTGATAGCTTAAACATAAGAGAGTTTCATGTTATAAATAAAGGATTTGTTTACAGGATTTTATAAGTCACTAGCCTATTCTAATTTTAAAAAATAAAAATAAAAATAAATCTAAAGCCAATAGCACCAGCTGTAAAGAGACTTAAGTTTAATTTGAATTTTTTTTTAACACGCTCACCCTTTCCATTAGAAATAACATATCTATCAACAAGATACTCAATCTCCCTTATAATGAAACCAACCTTAGAGTTAGAAAAAGATATGGAAATTTGCTTCACAACTTTTATCTAAAGTATAAGAACATTAACTTTAACCATCACTTCTAAAATTCTCCTCAAACACATATGAGATATATCTTTCTCAATGTGCTTCATAAAAAATCACCTCTAAAACAACATTTAATTTAGTTTTCTTTTCATAAACATCACAAACCAAAAATTTTGCACGTAAATCTTCTCTATCAACATTATTTTAATCATCCTTGTTGAATTTAGATAGTTGATTTTAATTCATAAAGAAACTAGAATTATCAAAACTTTTAATATCAACATCCTATTCATCATGATCAAGAAGTTTTCTTATCTGTTCATGCCTCTGATATGGGTTCTTAAAATTATTCGTGGATTTGTGATCACTTTTCTAATGATCGTTCACCTTCACTAGTTGATGGGTTAATTTTCTAAAATGTCTTTGCATGTTTTCTATCACTAGTTCTTAAACATCTCTTCTCAATTTTTTAATTTATTCATGCATGTCTTTTGTCACCAGTTTCTAAATGTCTCTTTCTTAATGAAGAACCTCCCCATCCTCTTCTACATGAGCATGTTATGTTCTATTACTTTTTATAATCATGATTATTCCAGCATACAACAAGCAAATAACCACTAAAATCGTTGGGCTTTAACACTAACTAACACAAATGAAAACATAAACAAGAAGATAATAATCTAGAAAAACAAAATTAAAGCCAAATAAGATTGTCTTACAAAAATATAATTCATTTTTTTATTTATAAAAATAAAAGTCTGATATGTTGTTTTAAAGTGCAAGCTAAACAATCATATTTATACTAATCTTAGGGCTACCTTGAAGAGGAAAAGAATCTTAATCAATAATCATAGATTTATTTTAAGGATTCTTAAACTTAAGAGAAAAAACATAAAATCGCTAATCATAAGTTTGACGTCTTTTTTATTTTAGGTCCTTTAATTATTATTTCTTTTATTTTCGACTAATTTCAACAAAATATTAGTTCTTCCAATAACATCAATTAATTAACAAAACTATTTATCCACACATCTACTTTCTGGTTCAAGAGTGTGATATATCTAAAAACATAATCATATTAGGTATGATTAAAATGATAACTTATGATAAACAAGTAAATAAGGTAACTATTCGTGTGCATTAATGTAATTCCTCTATCATTAAATGAAATATAATATCTTTAGTAATTCAATAATTTCATCAATTTTTAATACAACATCTGAATAGAAATAAATTTATAAAAATATCAGAAGTGTATCACGCAAACTCATATATTTAACTTCAATTTAAATCAATTAAATTTTTTAATCATCCAATACACCAGGTATTTATTCCATTAACTAGGAATTTAATTCTCTTAACTTGCCTATTCATCAGGAAATTATTTTCCTTAACCTATCATCTCCGTGCACCATATCATGCTAGGCCATTCAATTTTTAGGCCACTACCCCTCCCCCCTATATTTACTACAAATTTAAATACCAAAAAGTCTCATATTCAAACAAATCCAAATGAAGTTTGGAAATGTCATTCACTATACAAAAGGTACACTAGATAATGTATATATAAATATTTGTAAATCAACTAGAACTATTTGATTTAATGGCTATTTGTTTACGCAACAACTTTGTATTTTAAAGCAAATCACACAAATAATATATTTAGTAATGCTAAAACTCACTTTATTGTTGATGTGAGACCTATATATAATGTGTCTTAACCGTAGGTTTATGGAAAACAGCTGCTAACTGCTCCCCCGTATCCTGCAAACAACAGAGATTGTCTCCATTGTTCACTTGAACAGTGGAGAATGTCTCCACCTCTACTATTTTAGCTAGACTGGATCCGGTCCAAAGCTAAATACATTGAACCAAGTCTGATCCAGTTAAAAAAATTAATTTTTATTTTTAATTGTGTTTTATTTAAAAAATTAGAAAGAGATAGTTTGATTACGTAACATTTGCAGAATTTGATCGCAATCTCAATGTTATTGCTGATGATATTTTACTTAATGTTATTGTGCGCTTAAGAAACTAAAAAAACTGTAGTCCTTGGATGAATTTCGTACATGATGGAATTGTAAATAATTTAATAGAATAATAAAAATATTTTATATAAGTATTATTTATTTCATGATATAGATAATAACAATAGTTAAATCTATAATATTTAAATTAAAAATCATCAATAAACACATACACTTCAATTTGAAAAGTATTCTTTTAACCAAACATATTAAACCATTTTTTATTCAATTTTAATTTCAATCATAATTTTAACCAAATATATATAAATATAAAACCAACTTCAACCAAAAATATTTTTTAGAAAATAATTTTTTAAAATTATAACTATAAAAACGACCATAATATTAAACACACTTTTATTAGTGGTTGACATTGGTTCATCACATTTTTAAATTAGTCCTTTAACTAATATCTTATTCATTTCTGATTTATTTTTTTCATTTTAAAAACAATGAATGTTGGAGAAAAAAACTAATATTAAGCTGTTCAAATAACAACTTCATTATTTTTTAATACCACAAAAGTTAATTAATTATTTCCAATGAACTGCAAGAGTTATCAATTAATTAATTTCAGTGAAATATAAGAATTAAGTAATAACGAATTCAAAAAAATGCACGGCACGACATAGAGTGATAGTACAAATCAATCATTTAATAATTAATTTCAATTTTTTTTTATTTGAGTGCTGATGCTTCTTCTTCTTCTTGTTTTTTTTTTTGATTTACGTGAGGTGTCCGGGCCAGCTTGCGCGCACCACGACTAATCCTCACGGCCCACTGAATACCCTGCAAACCCAGTAGGCATGTAAGGCACCGCGGGGGTGACAGACGTGCACGCCAGGACTCGAACCCAGATGTAGTGGAAGGAGACAAACCCCTTCCACCACTAGACCAAACCCTGATTTGCTGCTTCTTTTTTAATCAGATTAGTTGATGACATGTTGAAAAATAAATCGGATATAACAACACTTTATTGAAAATAAAAAGTAAAGATATAAATATACTCAAAATAACAAGAAATAATATGGCATGGATGGATCAAGATTCTATATCCCGAATGGAGAAATTGAAGGTAAAGTGAAACTGATCGTAGTGTGGATTCATAAGCTGTAGTCCCCTGCTGAGAAATCCCACTTCTTACAATATTCTAATGCAAAATGTAGCTAAGATTGGTGACAAAGATTTTCGAACCCCATGTACTCTTCGTTCTCCAGCTTCTCAACCATGTTTGCTATTCCAACTCCACCTGCAGCAAATAGTAGCCGTGAAAATGAGTATCAGGAGATAAAGAAATGAACTAGGGTTTTGTCTAGATCTTGAGATGAAGGGGAGACTTGAGCACCTAAGCTGACTGCGCTCACAAAAATTGTCAAAGCCAGTATGAAAATAATTAATGACGCTCTTACAAAGAACTGACGGATTCTCGTGAATGATCACTTCAATGGTGCATAGCAGGGGGGATTGCAACAAAATTTAACATCTTGGTTTGACTACTGATGCTTTTGTGTTTCAAGAAGCTCGTGCCTGTTTCTTACCAGTACCTTTCTTGTATTCTGGATTTTTAGTGATATTGTAGATGCATGAAAGCAGTTAAGTATTTTACCTGAGGAGGAATTCCTAATTCGAGGAAAAGAGGTCCCAAGATGAAGCCGCCTCCTAGACCAAGCAGTCCACCCACCATTCCAGCAATTATTCCACACGAACAGTACAGTAGAATCTGATGTAACTTCCAATTTGTGATTTCCTTCCCTTTGGATGCTATCACTCTGGTCCCTTTGCACAAGCATATGGCTTCGAAAAGCGTAACTGAGGCAGCAATTGGTACCTGTATGATGTGAAACTATCTGGTTCAACTGTTTCTATTCCCAGAAACACAACAGCATAGTATGTTTTCGACAGGGGCTCCTCAAGCTTCTCCAGCAGAGCCAGAAAATTTTAAATGAAAAAGCAAATTATAAATATTATATATTATATATTCATGTATTATATATAAAGAAATTAATTTGAAATATATGTACTAACTTATGTCAAGTAAAATTAATTTAAGAATATTTTTAAAATAACAAAACTTACATTATAATTATTTTTTTTTGAGTTTTTATATT